GTGGGAACTTGCCATCGCTCTTCTGGTCACCAACAGCTCTGGGTGGCCACAGCACCTGTCCACAGTCACCTTTGCTCCAGCCACACCCGGTACCAGGGCCCCTCCTTCTGGAATGGTGAACTCCCAGTTTCCACTGTTGCCTCCTCCTCCACCAGGCTGCACCCTCTGCCCCTGGCTTTGGGCTGTTACACTTCCCTCAGACTAGCAGGAAGCCAAGGCCAGAACAGCAGCCATCTCACAGGGCTACTGTAAAGCTAAAGCACAGATGATGCCTGTGATCCCACAGAGGTGGGCGCATAGCAGGTGCTCAATAAACTTGAAGCATCATTACTCTCCTGGGAGTTGGATATAGAAAATACCCTAGGCAGAGTCTTCACAGAGCCCCATGCAAGTTCACATTCTCGCCCATGCATGGCAATTCATTCAACAAATCTTTTCCCAAACATATGCTACCTGCCAGTCCCAAGGCAAGAATAGAGACACAAGGAAAAATAAGCCCTGTATGGTGGTACATACCCGTTGAGGTAAGAGGACCACAGCAAGTTCGAGGCCAGCCTGGGCTACATAGTGAGTTCAAGACCAGCCTGGAATACATTGCAAAACCTTGTCTCAAACATACATAGAAGATAAATAAGTAAGTAAATAAATAGAAGGAAGGGGGGCTGATAGCTCAGCAGCATAAGCACCTGTCTGGTAAGCACAAGGTACAGAGTTCAGTCCCTGGTACTGAAGAAAAAAAAAAAAAGAAAGAAATAAGACTAAGTATTAGCAGCCAAATTTAACCCAATACTTATACATTTAAGGATACAATGGTAAATTGCATGCCATAGATAGATAGATAGATAGATAGATAGATAGATAGATAGATAGATAGATAGATAGATAGATATCACTAGCATTTTTTAAAGTGAAAGAAAAACTATAGAACTGTATAACACCAAGAATAAACCTTAGCCAGGTGTGATGGAGCACATCTGGAGTTGGGAGGCTGAGGCAGGAGGATGGTTATAAATTCAAGACCAGTCTGGGTTACAAAGTGAGTTCAAGGCCTGGCTGAACTGCGTAGTGAGACTCTGTCTCAAAAAGACAAAAACAAACAAAACCAGAAAGAATATACTTTAACTTAATCCATAAAGTGACGTATCTCAGCAGTTGAGCACTTGCCTAGAATGTGTGAGGTCTGAATTCCATTTCCAGAATCTCACAAAACATTTAGGCTGATCCTTAATACAGGGTCTCGCTACGCAGTTCAGACTCATAGTGATCCTCCTGTCTCACTTCCCCAGCACTGGGATTACAAGCGTGTACCACCATGCCCAGGTTCAGTGTCTGATACTGTGGGCTCAGGATCCCAGGCCAGCATAGCACGCGGTACCAGGGATCGAACCCAGGTCCTTGTGCTTGCCAGGCTGGCATTTAGACCACTGAGCTATCTCCCTAGTTCCAGGTGCTGGCATTTTTAAGATTTTTTTTTTTGGTGGAATTAGGGATTGAACTCAGGCCCTTGCACTTCCAGGAAGCACTTATTCTGAGCCATCTCCTCGGCCCCCATGGATCTTTTTACTATTGCATATTTCCAATCAGTGGCACCTCAGTTCACAAACTTAATTCTTTTCACGATTCTGGCCAACAGCCCAATTGATAAGAACTGAAGGAAATTCAAGGGTTAGGTTCAATGTTGACCTTATGGGAAAATTTGATTCAGTTTTTGTCCATTTGGTTCGTGACCAGAATCATTGAAAGAATTAAGTTCATGAACCAAGGCATCACAGTAGTTACATTTGTTTTGGGGGAGCTGGTACATCTATATATCATATCTTCATCATCTTCTATCCCTTCACCTCCACTTCCTACACTGCCTTCCCCTCCTGGAATTTATTTTAACTTCATAATTTTTTAGAGCTTTTTTATTTAAATAGAAAAATCAAGTAGAAAGTACAGATGTGCCATAAACCTCTCCCTGAAGTTTGCTCTGTTAGTAACATTTTGTAGTACTGTGATACATTTATTGCAATTGATGAGTGAATACTGATATACTGGTATTTAATTGAAGACCAAGCAGTGGCACTCACCTGTAATCCCAGTCCTTAGGAGGCTGAGGCAGGAAGATTTCTGAGTTCAGGGTCATCTTGGGCTGCACAGTGAGTTCAAGGCCAGGCAAGAATATATAGTAAGATCCTGTCAATAAATAAACACCATTGTCCTTTTTTTTTTTTTTTTTTTTTTTCCAGAACCAGGGATTGAACTCAGGCCCTTGTGCTTGCCAGGCAAGTGCTTATTCTACTGAGCCAACGCCCCAGCCCCCCCCCTTTTTTTCCTTGATAGATTCTTCCTAAATTGCCCAGGCTGGTTTTAAACTTGCAATCCTCCTGCCTCAGTATGAGTGCTGGTCTTACATGTATGCACTACCCCTGCCCAGTTTATTACTTATTTTATTCTTTTTAAACATTTTTCTGAGCATGGTGGCACATGTCTATAATCCCAGCACTGGGGAGTCTGAGGCAGGAGAGCTGCTGTAAATTCAAGGCCAGCCTGGGCTCCATAGTGAGTTCAAGGCCAGCCTGAGCTACATAACCAAACCCGTGAAATTAGAAGCTGGGATTGCAGTCATTTGGAAGAGGGAACACGAGAAAACTTCCAGGTCACTGACTCTCCTCTGCTAATCTGAGAGCCAGTCAGGCACACACTTTGTCAAGTTCATATAAATTCACTGAGCTGTATTTTCTCTGCCTCTCTGTCTCTGTCTCTGTCTCTCTCTGTCTCTCTGTCTCTCTGTCTCTCTGTCTCTCTGTCTCTCTGTCTCTCTCTCTCTCTCTCTCTCTCTCT